GGTCTAGTCAGCTCAGTGTTATTGCGTGTGTTTATTTTCATTTTCCAGCACGCATTCGCGCTAGTACCGAGCCCAGCTCCGTTCCGAGCGACATTCAGCGAACTTGGACTATGTGGTGAGCCAGCTTGATCATATACATGACGAGGCCGAGTGTCACACTGACACAGCCGATAATCTGCGGTCGAGCGACTGATGCAATTCAGTGACCCGTGTCATTTCTGTCATCCTGATGTAACGTGACGGTCCCATGACGACAGGGTGTCGTTACATAATGTGACGGACGTCGTGACACGCTGCCGGTCGGTGTGCCGGCTCTGACGCCTCGGCCGGGTCTCTCTGGCGCGGTCGGGTGCCTCCGCGCTATGTCAGGCATGCCACCCCGCGGTGCGAGCTGGTTGAACAGGTACTGAAAGGCGGCGGCGGTGCCGGATCGGATCTCTGGTCACGGGTGGCTGAGCGGTGAGCCGCGGCTGCGCCCGGCACCGTCCGCCGCCGCGGGGCGTTGTTTATCATCCGCCAACAGTTGCAGCGCTGGACAGCGCACAGCAGAGACCATCGCGCTCGTTAGGGCTTTGGCGCAGTTCGTTAGTGAGCAGGCTTTTTAGCGGCGGTAGCTCGGGACGTGCGCTGCATGCCGGCGGTCTTCCGTGAAAGGGAGACTCGGCAGGCGTCCTGCGCACTGCGCAGCCCTCTGAGGCCGTTATGGCGCGTCCTCCGCCAGTTCGGTGTCGGCGTATCGAGGACAGGGACTCCTCGACACGTCGGATGGATCTCACTGTGACGCAGGGCACGTCGGCGACTGGCCATGCACGGAGACAGGCCGGCGTGCCGAGCGGCGGCCGGCGCGGCCGTGCAGCTTTCTCCGCTGATAGCGAGGCGATGATCGGCGCCGGCGTGGTGCGCCGGTTGGCGGACAAACACGGTTGGCAGACGTGCCGACGCAGCCGTGTTGGCCCGACGCAAACAGCCGAACGGCAGCGACGGCGCGCCGCAACGCCGCAGGCGCTGCGATAGCAGGCACGGTCATGGACGGAGGTGCAACGTCGCGAAACGCTCCGCCGATGGAGCGACGCAGCACACACCTGGGCAATGTAGCAACAGGTGCAGCGGCTTAAGATTGCAGTATATTGGCAGCTTTGCGCAAATGTTTGTCCAGGTTTCCTGTGCTCTCCCGGTGCCAACGAACAGAAGTCACGTATGCTATGTTTACGATAGTGTGAGGTGTTTTTAAGCTGCAAGCTGGTCTGGTTTGTTGATAGGAAGCACTCAGTGTGCCTCTTATCTGACGTTTCCGTCACAAAGGAACCCCAATTACGCCGTTTCCACCGTTGGCATTCCGATCTTTGTTGCATTGTGTGCCGATTTCGTTGTAACCGCCCGCTGTTTTGGCACGACCTGCGGCGCTGTTTTCTGCCTCCGGTCTTGTCGTTCGGACGTGTCCCCACTGTTCACTTTCAGCAAACAGTGGCATTCCGTGACCACATTTGGCGCTCGGTCTGGCGTCATCCGTGACACAATGGGCGTATTCGCCGCGGATTAAGTCGCTCCTGTGCCCCGGCTGTCGGCCGGATGGCGTGCGGATTCGGGCAGTGAACGTGCACCGCAGGATGTGGTGGAGTGCGTCACGGCAGGCTCACGGGGACCACCAGTATTCACCGTTCTCCGTACATGGTGACAGCTGGCTCGAACGTCAGAGCGGCCGATAGGAGCGCCGCCCGCCGCCGCCGCCGCCGCCCGCCACGCCGCGGCGAGTCGTCATTCATTGCGGTGGCTCCGTGGCGAACGGATGGTGCGCGCGGCTCGCGGGGATTGACTGTGACGAGCGATGGGTGACGAGTGACGAGTGATAATACGCCGTGTGTTGACACCGTGAACGTCGTGGACGTGACCTGGGGCGAGCACGCGCGCACAGCGAGTGGACGTGCTCCAGGGGACTTCCGAGTGCCAGTGAAAGGCGTCCCAGTGCGGCTTGATGCACCCCGTGGTGATTAGAGTGCGGTGACCGGTCATTGCGAGCGGCGACTGGGATTGGACTACCGGAGAAGGTTTGTACTACAGCACGAACTGTGTGTCACCGACTCACCGTGAGGTGCGCTTAATGGGGCGCTGGAGCGGTGATTAATTTGGGCCATTCCGACTGTCGCGCCTTGCGACACAAGTGGCGACAGTTTGTGGGAAAGGTGCTGAGACAATCGTGCTGGAATCAGATTGGTTTGGCAAGAACATTTTGCCGGGACATTTGTTATCTCGGGTAACGATTGATTTCATCATAGTTATTTAGTGTCATTTGTGGGATGTTTGGCTATGGCGTCAAGTTAATGATGATGATCAAAAGCCCTGGAGCACGTTTATGTGTCCTTGGTCTTATCATCTATCTCCCTGCCCTTGCTGTCTTGGAAATCTCGAGAGCTCTTGTCGTCCTTATCTTGAGTTGTTAACTGCATAACAATTTGTTTTACGTGGAATTTGCCTCCGACCGGCTTTGCAAACCGTCCAAAGATCTCGCGGATCTCATGTAGCTCTGCAGTGAAACATTAATTCGTCCTGGGGTGGCACGTCGCTCGCCGGGCTATTGTTAGCTCGTCACCGGCTTTACCGTCGTCCCTGCTGTATGGAGCCTCTCATTGAGCTCCATCTGTGTCAACAAACTGGACGTGTCGCTCTTCAGGCCGACTGAATGGATTATGGCACGGCTGATCTTGCATCATCTACCCTGACTCGAAGTTTGAGAGGACCCGTTAGTCTGTGGGCTGCGACCTTCGCCAGTCAGCGGACTGGGTGGCGACGTTCAGAGTGCGCGAGATCGGTTTATTGAGGATGCCAGCGGCTAGTTATTTATGCCGCTGATAGGAAACCGGGATGGGATGACCGGGATGACGATTGTTTGCTAAGCGCAGCATCCTTGACTGGATCATTAGGTTTCCATACCTACATCATTAGATTTTCAATTCCATGCCTGGCTTTCCGGGACGGTATGTTGCAGCGATTGCTGGTATTGGGCTGCTCAAAGCTCTGTGGTCGCTTATCGTGCAGATGGTTGTGATTGAGCGTCACTTTTAGTCTTGAAACCAGCCGTGACAGACGGTGAGTCAATGTCCGACCGTGACATTTCACCACTGATATCGCCTACTCTTGCTTATAGGGGCCCAGCCGAGGGAACGTTTATAGGTCTGACAGCTGAATGGACAGTGGGCTTTGAAAGACTGTGTGGAAATAAAACAGGAAGTGGATGGAATTGGAAAATGGACATCCGGGCGTGACAGCAAACCTTCAAACGCGGGATAAGACGGTCGATGAGCGGAGAGGCACAGCCATCTGACGGGTCAACATGTCGGGACGATCTAACAGGACGTGCATTGTGACCTTTGCTTCTTGCGGAACCTGAATCACGATGCAGATGGTGTGATTTATATACCAATGTCCACGCGTGAGTTGAGCATTATTCACATTTTGAGATACACGAAAAACATGTTCATGCACCGATGACAAACCGCTACATGTCCTTCTAATCTGATAGCGAATTGCGACGGTTCAGACACGTCTCAAACCTGCCACCCACCCATGTGTGACGGTTGTTCGCCCCGGCTGCCCTCGCCGCTGCCATCGCGGCCGTGTGAGGCTGGCGAACCTGTTTGTTTGTCCTCCGCGACGCTGTTGACGCGGCCCGGCCGTCCCTCGGTCCCTCGGTCGCGGCGCGCTCACTCCCCCGGCGCCGGTGATTGTCTCGCCACCACCGCGCACGTCCGGCCGCCGCCGCCGTCTCCTCGCCGGCGCGGCGGCGGCGGCAGCGGAGCAGAACGGCGTCACGCGGGCGCGCGGCGCCGCCCATCATCGCCCGGCGCCGGGTGACGCCGCGCGCCGCCGCCGAAATTGTCCATTTGTGCTGGCGCGCTCATCCGTCCAGTTGTTTACATGCCAGCTGGAGTCGGGTTCCGCCCGGCCGGCTCCGTCGTGATGCCGACGCCGTTCGCAGTAATGCGAGCTGGCTCGCCTCATGACGCTGCTCACGGCTGGCGCCGGCGCCGCTGGCGGTGCTGCACGCGGTCGTTAGTGGTCATCCCGGCGGCTCCCCGCGGCCCGGAGACGGTTCCCATGTCTCCCCCTCTACCCCTCGCCGGTCCGCCGGCAGTCACCTGTGCCGCCGGCCGCTCCACGGCGCACCGCCGACGGGAAGTGGTCCATTAGCTGATTCCGGCCGGCGGACAGCGCACGGGACCGGCTCTGGGCCGCCGCCGCTCCCTCCCGCCGCACCGGACGTGCCTTCTACGCCCGACGGAGCGCCGTAGACGGTACATCGCAGTCCCCTCGGCCCGGACTCTACGACCCGGCTCTGTGGTTCGCCGCTCCGACCGACACCCAAAACGGCGCTGCAGGTAGCTGCAAACTCACTGTCGTGCCCGCCCGGAACACCGAAAAAGCTGATCAAGTTGTATTATATAATTAACATGGTAGTGCCCGGTCAAGGTGACGACCCACGAATTGGGCACGGAGAGGGCGTTTTTGCCGTGCGCCTCAGATGAGCGGGGAGGCGGTGGCGTGTACGGCGCACCTGTCAGGGGGCGGCGGGCGTGGCGCACGGCCCGCACGCGCCGCCGGCCAGAGGCCCCGCACGCACTGATCGGTGACGTCTGCCGGGCCTCCGGTCTCTGCCCCGCCCGGCACCGGCTGGCAATGACGTCCGCTTCAGGGTGGAGGGCGGGCGGGACGGGAGGGATGGACCTCTCCGCAGTGATGAAATCAGAGATAGATGATTGGTGACGCTCCGAACGCGTGAAAAACTGCCCGATCACGCCCTGAGGTGGCATGTTTAAGGCCTTCGAGAGACCCATGGCACACATTTCTTTTGGAAACGCAACACCGATACCATAAATGGACTACATGATCTGCTGTGTGGCGTCTCCGTTGGAAAGTTTCTGACGCCGCCGAGTCGCGCTAATCCCTCTGAACGTCCGCCCGTGTGCAGAGATACGGCAGTGACGCGTCGTTTCTCCTCGTTACAGCTCGTCCAGTAGCCGGCGACGATGAAGTTTTTCCGGCGCCGCGACCCGGCCGGGCCGCGCCTGGTGAGCCTGTCGCCACTGCGCGCTGCCGACTCCAGCACGGGACCGCCGCACGCGCTGCCGCTGGGCCCGGCGCCGCCCGGCCCCGGCCCGCTGGCTGGCTTCGTCCCGCCGTCCAGTCCTTCCGCCCACGAAACCTCACTGGACGCCGCCAAAAAGAGTGAGTTGACGGGAGACGCGACGGGCGTGCCGGTGAATGCAGTGACGCAGCTGCCGATAACCGGCGGCTGCCGGTGGTATGTTTTTATATGGTCAATGCCGATCATGCGATGATTGTGTTGTTGCTGATTAAAGGATGACTGTGCCGATGTGTGCATGTGTTTATAATTGCATGCTTACGGCTCTTGATATGATAATGGCTGCTTTCCAGCCGTCATTTTTGTTTACCAAAGATCGCAAAATATTTTGTAGTCGTTGCCCTTAAAGCTGGAACGCTGGTATCAGTAGTTGTTTGTCTGACTTTCTGACAAGTACGCGCTTAGGCTGTTTTCGTTTCGCGCTTAGTCGCAAATCGGCGAACTGCGCGAGGTAGCCTGTGTGTTTGGAGAGCAAACAGCTGATGGTGTCGGCCTATCTCGTGACGGTCGTTCGTGCCGCTCCATACGGCGGTGCGCGGTGACCTGGGGCAGCGGTGGGGGCGCGCGGTAACCCCGGACTGACAGCGGGGTCGCGCACGGCGCGGTGTAGCATGACACGGGGACTGGCCAACCCCGCACGGCGGGCTGGGGGTGGCAGGTGTCGCGCCGCGCACTTCGGGAGGGTCCGCAGCCGGAGCCGGCGCCTGGGCCGCGGCCGCACCTGAGTAGTGCCCTTCACAGGCCGGCGCTCACGACTCGACTCACGTATGACTCAGCTCACGGCACAGGCCGGCCGGCGGGGGCGGCCGGCAGGCCTGCACGCGAACCGGGCGGAGTCGCGCCAGGAATCTGACCGGCCGACCGACCCGCGCCCCCTGACCTGTTTCGCCAAACAAAGACGGAGAAGGCCGCGGCCGCCATGGGTCGCCTTGCCGGTCGTTTGGTCGGGCGTCGGCGCGTTGCCACCCCGGCAATGGTGTCAGTTTTCATAGGAGGTGCGGCCGTTGCATAAGGCGGCGGTCGCGCCCGTGCACGCCTCACGTGATGATCCAGATCCTATATCGGCAGTGCAAAAAGATCCGACGGCCTGTCTGACTCGCTGACGGCAATAACACCTGAAGGTTAATCGCCGGACAGATCGCTCACGAGCGTCTGATCCAATAGCGGTGAGGCGAACACGATCTTTCAGTTTGCCGCTCGTTCTTCTTGAGATGATGAGTACCGCTGTGGCCAATTTAGGGCACTGCTCGCACCGCGGGCGTGATCGAAACAAGCCGCACCTAACAAGCCGGAAACCGACAATCGTGCTGACTAAAACCACTACCAACAGCGCCGAGCAATCGGACCAGCCGCCGCTTCTCACATTCGATACCACCGTCATGATTAACCCCCGCCCTCTGTGCCGCAGGCTTCTCCACCTGGAGCCGCAAGGTGGGCCACAAGTGGCACCAGCTGCGCAGGAGTGACTCCAAGGAGCGGCTCTCACATTCCCTGCCGCACACCGGACCGCGCAAGAAGAAACAGCCGTCGGGCGGCGACGCGAACCGCTCCACCGGCGACCGCAGCCGGCTGGACCGGGTCGAGTCTCTGAAGAGCCTGTTCCTGCGCGGCCGCGGCGACGGCCGCCGGGAGGTGTGCAGCGTCGTGGAGCCGACCAGCGAGGCGGAGTGCGTCCGGCCGCTGTATCGCAGCAGCTCCACGTCCCAGCTGGCAACCTACGTACCGGCCGAGGACCCCAGTGACGGGGTGGACCTGCGACGCCAGGCGGCCCGCGCTGCTCCCGCCCGTACCATCAGCTGTGACCACATCAACCTGCTGTCAGCAGAGCGGGCGGCCGAGCGGGCGGCTGCCGTGGCGGCGGCGGCAGCGCCGGTGGGCGCCCTGGCCGGCCTCTCGGCGCTGCCTGAGGAGAGCGGACCGCCGTCGGCCGACGCTGGTCTCTACGTCAGCACCCTGGAGCGGACACGGCGGCGGCCGCGCGGCCGACAGACGGCCTCCGCCGGCAAGACGCGCAGCCTGTCGGTGGCGCAGCTGAACCTGTCGTTCCGCAGCCAGCAGCCGGCCGATGCGGTGACTAAGACTCGCGCCGACTGTGACAGCGACAGCGGCATCCTGGCCGAACACTCAGACAGCGGCTCAACGCACAGTTCGGAGACGGGCAGCGTGGCCTCGGCGCGCACCGACTCGGGAGCCTCCAGCGAGGGAAAGCCGGAGCCCGACAAAAACCTCTGCGACGAGGAGAAGATGCTGCGCCGCGCGCCGCGCTCCCGGCACGCGTTCTGGCCGGTGCCGGACGGTCGCTGCCGGGTGGACACGGAGGACCCGTACAGCCCAGGGTTCCTGGCGCGGCAGCAGCGCGGCGCCGGCCGCTGCCTGCCCGTGCCCGTCCTGACGCCGCCGTCCGGCTGTGACCCGGCGCCCGACCCGCTGGTGCGCCGACACCTGCGTTCGGCTTCCGTCGACCGCAGCGAGGTGGCGCGGAGGATCGCCTCGCACGACTTCCCGGAGGCTGCGCGGCGCCGCGGTGGCTCGCCGGACTCCTCCCGGCGCGGCCGCCGCTCGTCCGAGTACAGCCCGGCGCCTCCCATCTCACTGCCGCCCAACCTGGCCTCGATCACCAACCGGCAGTTTAAACTGCTGCGGCTGGTACGTCAGGACGGCGAGGAGCTTGGTGTGGGCATCACCGGCCGACGGAACACCGAGCACACGGCCAGCGGATACTATATCGCCAACATCGAGCCCGGCTCACTGGCAGACAGGTACGAACGGACTGGGACGGGAGAGATGCGCTGTAGAGTGTGGCTAATTCAGTCTCTATATCACTCATATCGCAGTGATGATGAGTGTGGCATGAACGCACCCGCTCACGCGGAAACGGCCGTCGTTTGCCGTGTACGATGACCTGAGTTGTAGTAATTTATCGCAGTAATTTATTGCGTGCAGAGGATCGTGTCAAGATGACTCGATTTTCGCGGTGCCGCTTGACTGCGCCATCGCACGCTGTGCAGGGAATTCGCGGTTCGTCGACCTCTCTCTGATGACAGGGCAGTTTGTGTCCTCCGTGACTCATGCTACCCATGGCTGTGTGTGATCTGATTGACTCCTCTGCTACAGGGACGGTCGCCTCAGGATCGGAGATGAGGTGTTGAACGTGAACGGTAACCGACTGCGGGGTGTCTCTCTGGAGGAGGCGTGTGCCATTCTGCGCGACACCCCGCCAGAGGTGGATGTGGTGATCGCGCGCGAGGCGCGGCCCGGCGCCGGCGCGCCGGTCCAGACACCCCAGACGCCCGGCTCGCCGCCTCAGACACCCACCGGGCCGCCGCCGTCTGCCAGCCAGAAGTACGTGACAATCGTCAGCACCACCGGCGCCCTGGTGGCGGACGGCAGCGGCGGCGGCGGCGCCACCGACACAGTCAGCTCGTCGAGAGCGCCGCACTACTCGCAGACGTTCAGCGAGGCGCGGCACCGGCGGCGCCACCGCGGCGAGGGCGGCGCGCACGCGGCGGCGGCGCGGCTGCACTCGCACCCGGCGGCCGGCGGCGCGCTCTGCACCCTGCCGCGCCGGCCCAAGTCGCTCTACCTCAACATTATGATGGTGGTCTTCGAGAAGGGCCGCGGCAAGAAGAGCCTCGGCTTCAGCGTGGTTGGAGGCCGCGACTCGCCCAAAGGAGACATGGGCATTTTCGTGAAGACCATCTTCCCCAACGGTCAGGCAGCGGAAGAGTCCAAACTGAAGGAAGGTGAGTCACACCTAGAGCTCCGAGCGATCGGCAGCCTGCAGCGTCTGGGACTGTGCATTTTTCCTAGCTCTGTCTGGAGCACGTCCGTCTTGTCTCCGTTTCAAGGGCCTTATTACGGAGCTTTGGTTGCATTAGACGTTTATTACGCATTGTTGGTGTATTTTTGTGCCGTACGGCCGAAATTATGGCCGCCGGTCCGGTGATACCACCGGTTTCTGTATATTTTTGTCGTGCCGTTGCATTGTTTCGTGGTCTGGTTATTGATGTCCACCCGTCTAGGTGCCGTCAACAGACGATCAGTTCGGTCAGTTACGGCGAATCGCTGACTAGTTTCCAAGAACCAGCTGCATAACAGAATTAGTCATTCTAGCACCGGGTAAAATTCGATAGGAATTCGTTGACAATGGTGAATTTAAAATCCCGGTATGACTGAACTATGCCGACCCCACAGTTGCTTTTGAAAAGTTTAGATGCTTCCTACCGTAGAAGACTTGTTGTAAACATACTCCTTCATTTCTCACATTGAATCTGCACTGTTTATTTCCCAATCAATCATTGGTGTTAACCTGTGCAGTGTGCGTCGTTAATTAACTATGGCACCAACAGCCATTACTGGTCTGTAGGTGCTTCAATAGCAAAGACGGTTGATCTGGAGTGTGATGGCAATAAAATTAGGCATAAGAATGCCCTTCCTAAATTATGAATTATCCCTCCTGAAAAATAAAGGTTGTTTCGGTCTCAGCCTAGTCCTTGACGGTTTAGGGGCATACAGGTACTCGGAACGTGCTGGTGCTCGCTCTCTCGCCTCTGGGGCACGGTTTTCGGGCCGCCGATATGCTCTCCCCGCTCACCATTGTTTCCCTTTCTCCCAGTACGTGCTCGGGCGTTAATGCCTTTGTCCAAGTGATGGTTAGCGCCAACTTAGTTCTGCCTTAAAGCATAATGAATGCTTTCTTCAACGCACTTAATTCACTTGGCATGCTTTCCTCGGGACACAGTGTCGGGTAAAGTGTTTGAAGCGAAAGCGCCTCCAGCGAAGCGCGGGTGTTTACCGGCGATTTATGGGAATGTTATGCCGGGAGAGTTCCCGTCACCCGGCATTGTTGACCGGGGCCTCGCTAATCCCTGGTCCCTGGGTGACGGACTGTGCCTTCAACAGCGGCTGGCCTCGGATCTGGGGAGCCTGAGGAGCCGGTCGCTCGGTCCCATCCTGTCCCCAAGCACCGGCGAGCGAGGCTGCCGATCTGCCATCTCGCATTGAGATATACCGTAAAGTGGGGCTATTTGAGACAGTGGGGCTATTTGAGACAGTTTTAAAATGGCTATAAAATGAAGAGCGTTTGAATTTTATGTGATATTTTTGCTCAGGAAGATGTGGAATCGAGCGGTAAATCGCCTGAGCAAAAATTAAGCATAAATTTCAAACGGTTTTTATTTAATAACAATTCTAAATACCGTCTCAAATAGCCCCACTGTCTCAAATAGCCCCACCTTACGGTACGGAGTCGGGGAGCAGTGACCGGGGTGTAAGAACGGGGGTAAAAACGGATCAGCCGTGCCCCTGTGCTGGGGCGGTAACGGGATGACGCCGGCTGCCGCTGTCGGAGTCCACTGGGGTCGGGCCGACCGACCGCCGGATCCTGTCCTGCCGCCCTGGGTGGAAGGGACGGGGCGGGCGGCCGAGCGAGCGCAGCGCACAGCGCCGCTGCGGCCGTTTGTCGCCGGGTTTTTGCGGTGACGAGCGCTGACGGCCGGTCTAAGCCGCCCATTCAGACGGGCTCGGACCCGGCCGCGGCTGATTGCCGGTCGGATTAGTCTGATTGGCCCATTCCGGAGGGCTATGATTACCGTCTGTATCCCCGCCGGGGTCGGTCCTCCCCCGCCGCTGCCGCCGCTCCATAACCATTATTTCATTGTGGTTCTTGATGCTCGTTCCCTGGCCGTAAATCGAGGGTCTGTCTCTCATCTGAGCTCTCCGTAATAACGTGTCCAATTTCCTGTCTTGACCCTCTTGGGTCTTGTTTGTCGTGTTCTTGTATTTTGTTCCCCTGAGACGTCTTTTTGCCACTGGTGTGCTCGTGCTCTCTCTCTCTCTCTCTCTCTCTCTCTCTCTCTCTCTCTCTCTCTCTCTCTCTCTCTCTCTCTCTCTCTCTCTCTCTCTCTCTCTCTCTCTCTCTCTCTCTCTCTCCCACACGCTCATTCCTGCTCTCGTGTCATTTCCTGTAGATTTCCTCGCCTTTCCATCTTCCTTTCATCCCCAATAGCAATCTAACGATCGCACCATTTCGTTCAGGCTTTTTTCTCTCGTCTCTCGTCTCGGTTTCTTTACAGCTAAAGGTGCCGCAAGCAGCACCTCTACCTTCTGGTCACGGACTGTCTCCCTCACTCCCCCCCCCCCCTCTCTCTCTCTCTCTCTCTCTCTCTCTCTCTCTCTCTCTCTCTCTCTTTCTCTCCACTCCCTCCTTCCCTGTCCCGAGCACGCAGCACATCAGCGGGTACACGCAATCAAGACTATTTCCTGTTCAGCTGCGGGCGTTCCCTGGAGCTGTGCCTCGGGGCTTCAGGGGCAGGCCGGAGCGAATTGGGGGTGTTGGTGACGCCCGACCGCGTGGTGGGCGGTAATCGCACCAGTCTGGGGCCGGAGCCGAGCGACAAAAACAACTCGGGGACGCCGCTCCGTCCAGGTGCTGCTAGTCATCACAGGTGTCGGTCACTGTCAGAGTGGAGACGGGAGAGATGGTGACCGTTAAAGGGACCCTCCCACCTTAACATTAGTTTTGAGTTGAGATAGCCAAGTTTGCGGCCAGGCTCAGAAACCACCATTTATCCTGGTCGCAACCCCCGCAGCTTTATGGTGTTCAAGAAATTTCTTCCCTTTACTTGCAGGGTGGGACCAGCGTGGTCCCTATCTCTTAACCATTACGGGAATCTGATGACGTCATCAGGCTTTCGAACGTCCGTTAAATGTTTGACTAAAACGTTTTGTAGCACGCGGTGGTATATGCTGCTTTGCGCGCAACAAATGCCGCACTTTCAAATAAAGTCGCTAGGAGCAGCGGAGATCCCAAAAAGTAAACAAAAGTAAAAGTCTAATATCTTGAAAACCGGTGAATATTTTTCGATGAAATTTGGTAGATATTCGTTTTTGCTCTTTCTGAACCGAGCGACATCACTTTTATGCCAATTCATTAACTTTAGTTGAAGGTTTGAGGGTCCCTTTAAACTGTAACGTGATGATACCGAGAATTGGGTATTGGTTTCATGGCTGAGGCTTTTATAAGGAAGGTGTTTTGTGAAGGTTGGGTAGTGGGCACACAAATCATCCGTTCTCGTTTCGTATTTCATATTTGGATTGCGATGCCGAGCGATACCTGCACAACTGAGTCATTCAGCCGACCATGAAGTTAGTAAAAATACTATGCCTGCATTCGTGCTGTCTGTTGAAAGCAGCAGATAAACCTTTGCCGCAGGGGTGTAACTTTTGCTTTTGAGATGGGGGTGCACTTGGTGATGGGGGCGACCTTCAATGAGGATAGGGGCGCTTCTCAGGAGAATAGATGGTGCATATCTCAACAGGCGCGCACACAGGATTTTTGAACGGGAGGGGGAGCACGACCTGCAAACTGGGGCCCTCCATGCCGAAGGGCCCCAGGCCCCAGCCGAAAAGTTTTCCAACGCGATTATTTTTCGGTTGACTTGAAACTTAGCTTCTGTCGATTCATGATAAAACAATTACTTCAGTGCCCGTTCAATTTTCAAAGCATTTAATGTTCCATTTTTGTTTACGCAGCATGTTTCATTCAAATACGATTCAGTGAGTAGTTATCACCATCTTAACAATCACGTAGAATATTCGATTAATAAGCGTGGATGCAAGGCCCTCAGAAATCAACGCGGGTAGCGCCTGACTGCCGGCCGGCCGACCGACCCCAGCCTGGCTAGAAGAGGAGGCTAGTCACGGGTTCGGGGTTGGCCCGGATGTGTATGAGCGGGGCAGCACCCCCTTTGTCAATTCGCGTATTTATTTAGGCACATCGACATAAAAAGTCATTACAATGATTCGTAGCGAGATCACAGACCAGAGATTTAACCTTTTTCTAGACTAGTTTTGACGCTGTCAGAAATCCTAGACGACGTGTTTCATGACTTATGTGTTCGTATTTCTTCTTACGACACACGACTCTGGCACTGAAGTTTATCAGTTTCTGAATGCGATGAAGCTGGATTATGCCACAAGTTCCATAAATTGACATACAGTACCGGCCTGGTTGACAGCACTAACGACAACACGACTTGCTTGAGAACAGAGTAAGGTATGACGTGACTAGCATGGACTAAACCTAGCAGAGTGCCGGTACATTTTCTGACGAGGTGATCGATGTGGTTGCCGAATGTCAGATGCCTATCCATGTGCACGCCTAAATTCTTCACTGTATAATCTCATTTGGGCCTCCTGGGGTCCGATTTGGGCCCTCCTGGTCTTTTTAATCGTCATTTCAGCTCATTTTAGACAGTCTTCGGCGGTCTTAAGATTAGGGGCCCATTTGAGAATTTCGGTAAAATGTTTTATTGGTATATTTTGAAATTCAGACTTAAAAGTGATCACCATTTGTGTTCCTCCGATTTAGTTTGAACACAGTCTGATGTTGCAAATGGGATTGCAGCTCATTTATATTAAAGGGACCCTCCCACCTTAACATTAGATTTGAGTTGAGATAGCCAAAATGGGGTCCCTGGCTCACAATTACCGGTTTCGGCACTCACAACATCGAGAAATGCCTTAAATCAGAAATATTGAATTTCAAAATTGCAGCATTTTGATTCAGAGGGGCTAATGCTTAGGAATACCCCTCTGAATGTGTGACGTCAGCGCAGATATCTACGATTTTTAAATGTTTGACTAAAACGTTTTGTAGCACGCGGTGGTATATGCTATTTGCGCGCAACATCTGCCGCAAACGCCGCACTTCTAAAATAAAGTCGCTAGAAACAGCGGAGATCCCAAAAAAGTAAACAAAAGTAAACATCCCAAAAAGTCTAATATCTTGAAAACCGGTGAATATTTTTCGGTGAAATTTGGTAGATATTCGTTTTCGCTCTTTCTGAACCGAGCGACATCACTTTCATGCCAATTCATAAACTTTTTTGAAGGTGGGAGGGTCCCTTTAACCCAAGGCCCTCTAACCGGCGCACAGATAAACGGATGTCGAGGCTTCTACTTGTAGGTACAAGAACTTTTGAAATAAAATGAATATTTTTACATAAACAATTTTAATTGTATGAACACTAAACACCCCAATGTTAGAGTCCAATGGTACAAAGTTGGGTATTACGAAATGACATTAAATTCGTTGGCACGAATGTCAATCAATCAATTAAATTTATAACGAAATTGCATTTTACCTTTTAATTCCAACCTTTTATAGAATCGGAGTGCCCTTTTTATGCTCGGCGACTGGTGACACCCACACTTTTGCTGAAATCGCCTTTTTTATTGCGCGCCTTTCTACTGCTGAGGTCGCCTCTCTCACTCTCTCTCTCACTCTCTCTCTCACTCTCTCTCACTCTCTCTCTCTCACTCTCTCTCTCACTCTCTCTCTCACTCTCTCTCTCACTCTCTCTCTCACTCTCTCTCTCACTCTCTCTCTCACTCTCTCTCTCTCTCACTCTCTCTCTCACTCTCTCTCTCACTCTCTCTCTCACTCTCTCTCTCACTCTCTCTCTCACTCTCTCTCACTCTCTCTCTCTCACTCTCTCTCTCTCTCTCTCACTCTCTCTCTCTCTCACTCTCTCTCTCTCTCACTCTCTCTCTCTCACTCTCTCTCTCACTCTCTCTCTCACTCTCTCTCACTCTCTCTCTCACTCTCTCTCTCACTCTCTCTCTCTCACTCTCTCTCACTCTCACTCACTCTCACTCTCACTCTCACTCTCACTCTCACTCTCACTCTCACTCTCACTCTCTCTCTCTCTCTCTCTCTCTCTCTCTCTCTCTCTCTCTCTCTCTCTCTCTCTCTCTCTCTCTCTCTCTCTCTCTCTCTCTCTCTCTCTCTCTCTCTCTCTCTCTCTCTCTCTCTCTCTCTCTCTCTCTCTCTCTCTCTCTCTCTTGTTGAGGTCACCACTCTTCTGCTCGGCGGGACTTACTTCTGATGGGCGCTCCTCCTCTGCTGGGGTCTCACTTTTCTTCTGGAGTCTGACATTTCCCTTCCCGGGTATGCCCTATTTTTGCTAGAGGCGTCCCTCTTCTGCCGGGGGAGCCAAATTTCTGCTTAATGGTGTGAAGTGCTTTAGCGAGGAACATAGCGAGAATAGATACGTGAAGAATCATTGACCTTTTCCTGGAAAATGTAAAAACAATGCCAAAAGTTATATTGAATGCGGTGAGCTTTCGGCTACAAGCCTTCGTCAAACCAACAAAATGACACGATACCAAAATGACATGTATCGTGTCATTTTGTTGGTTTGACGAAGGCTTGTAGCCGAAAGCTCACCGCATTCAATATAACTTTTGGCATTGTTTTTACATTTTCGAGGAAAAGGCCAATGATTCTTCACGTATCTAAATTTCTGCTTAAGTCGCTCGACCTTTTCTAATGAGGGCGCCCTTCTTGTGCTCGGCGAGCCCAACTGCCGCTTGAGGTGTCCCATTTTTATTGGATGGGTCCCCTTCTGCGGGCGGCGCCCCTCTTTTGCGGGGCTGTTCCTCTTCTGCTGGAGGCGCCCATCTTCTGGTGGCGGTGCCCCTCTTCTGGTGGAACCGCCCCTCTTCTGCGGGTGCGCGCTCTTCTGCTAGAGCGCCCTCTTCTGCTCGGCCAGCTCAGCTTCTGCTGAAGGTGCTCGGTTATGTCTGTTGGGGGCATTGCTCTTTTGCTGGGGACCCCTGTTCTGCTGGGGATGCCCCACTTCCGCTGGGGCCGCTGGGGACGCCCCACCTCTGCTGGGGGCGCCCCCGGCCCCACTGCTGCTGGACGAACCCAACTTTTGCTCCGGGTGCCCCTTTTGTATTGGGGCCCCTTTCTTCTTTAGACATCCCTCTCCTGGTAGGGCGCCTTTTTTTCTGGTGTGGCGCCCCTTTCTGCTGGGGCGGCCCTATGCTGGGGGTACTCCTCTTCTGCTGGGGGCTCCCCACTACTGCTGGACGAGCCCAACTTTTGCTTGAGGTGCCCCATTTATATTGGAGTGCCTCTCTTCTTCTGGAAGCATCCCTCTTCTGGTGGAGCGCCCCCTTTCTGCTGGGGAGCCATTCTTGTGCTGAGGGCGCTCCTTTTCTGCTGGAGGCATCTCTGTTCAGGTGGGGCGCCCCCTTTCTGCTGGGGTGCCCTTCTTCTGCTGGGGCGCCCTTCTTCTGGTGAGGCGCCCCTTTCTGCTGGGGTCGCCCGTGTTCTACTGAGTGCGCTCTTCTACTGGCGAACCCAAGTTCTGCTTGAGGTGCCTCATTCCTACTGGGGGCGCCTCTCCTCCGCTGGGGCGCCAGTCTTATGCTTGACGATGCCAACCTACGTTGGAGGTGCCCCACTTCTGCCTCGGGCGCTCCACTTTTGCTGAGAAAGTCCCGTTCTTGCCAGTTGCCGGGGTGCCCCTTTTACCCATTTTTGGGGAACGATACGACTGGACACCTCCCAAGCCCGCAAGCAGCATGACGCCGGTTACGAGACGGAATGTAGCCGGGAAATCACCCTCGCCATCTGCTCAAGAGCTTATCGGTGTCGGGCGGCGTGTGGGGCGCCGCTTAACCTATGGGGGTGCACTTTGACGTGATGGGGGTGCACTTTCAGGGGATGGGGGTGCACCTGCACCCCCATACATATAGAAAGTTACACCGCTGCTTTGCCGTTAACACCTGGCTGGCTGTTTCAGATAACCTCTTACCTCTTCACAGCTGCGGTTCAAATCCACAAGTTATTTTTAAAAATCCATTGATGGCCTATCATTCTTCGTCTACACACTAGTTACCCATCCGATACAGTCCTCACTCTGGTTAGAGGCCGTCTGGCCGTCTGCGAACCTGTTTGCATTAAACTCTGTCTGCAACTTAGTGCCATCCGTCGTAGGTAGTGGCGCCACCACTGAACTCTATAATGGCGCCACCTACATCGGAGGCGTCACGCCGCAGCGCCTCGGGCCGCGGCAGGGGGAGTCTGTCGTTCGCTTCCACACCCGGCAGTCCGGCATTGAAATTCGTATTTGACAGTTATGTTTTGGTGTTCGTAGTTGACAGTCTGACTTTGAAATTATGGTTGTGAGATGCAGCAGACTCGGATCCTTCTGATCAAACAAACTTGCACTCTCTGACTCGGCTCTCCCCGGCAGGCGATGAGATCTTCTCCGTGAATGGCGAGTCGCTGCGAGGCTTCTCTCACGCCGAGGCGATCGCCGCCTTCAAGAAGACCAAGACTGGCCAGATAGTGCTCCAGATCGGGCGGCGCGAGTCAGTGAAAAAAGCGTGAGTAGACCGGATGTCTGACGTTTGGGTTATTATTTAAGAAGTTAGAATTTCAGGGGCAGCTGGTGAATCGACTGTTTTCGTGATTGTGATTAGAGTTGATTGGTGGGGCGTGCCGAAGGTCACTTTTGATCTTGTGTCGCCTACAGATTTTCCCATTATCTCAGCATGAATGTTGTGCTAGCGTGCCAACCATGTGCCGACTTAATGCATATTTTGTTTCACATCCTATTACTATCGTATAACTCTGTAAGTCCCTTTTGGCCCTAATAACAGCTCGCCAGCTAAGTAGATGTATCTCTACATCAAAGACTTCCGGTGAGTGCGGTTGGGGCTTGCTACCACCACTGGGCACCCGGTGTTAGAAAAACCGGCCCGCCGCGGCTGCCGGTGGCACGGCCGGACCCGTCCTGACCACACGCCTTTTTGTTTGTCCACAGCTCGGCCAAGTCCAAGTCATGTGATGGCCTGGACAAGCTGGGATGAACGGGCGCGCTCCTCGTCAACCGGTGACCTGCGCGGTGACCGGTGACCTGCGCGGTGACTGGTGACCTGTGGGGTGACCGGTGACCTGCGCGGTGACTGGTGACCTGCGCGGTGACCGGTAACGTGTGGGGTGACCGGTGACCTGCGCGGTGACCGGTGACCTGCGCACTGTGCAGTGACCGGTGACCTGCGCGGTGACCGGTGACCTGTGCGGTGACCGGTGACCTGCGCGGTGACCGGTGACCTGCGCGGTGCCCAGAGACTGGTGGCCGGTTTCAGTGTGATCTATGTTGGCGGCGGACGGACCGATGAGGCGTCTCCGGTGTCTCAGCTGGCGGCTGATGGAACTCTGCTCTCCCCGTGCCGGGAGGTGGGGACCGTGTGTTCCCCCGGTGACCTGGGTTGTGACCGGGCGGGGAGCGCCCCACCGCCGCCGCCCCCGCCGCTGCTACTGTTAATGTGATGTGCTGTATGTGTGCTATGAACTGTGCTACGAAGTCCGAGCGGCGCAGCAATTAACGTGACGTAGTGTACTCGGCACATTGCCGTGGATAAACTCTAGTCTGGATCCTATTTCGTAGCGTGTAACTCCAGTGTGTTGTCATACCTGTAGCGGTTCTCAGTGCATTGGTACTTATTTTTATTTGACTAAGTGATGCCGTATGCTTTCTTCCCATATTGAATGAATGACTATAAATATATGTGCAAGATAGATGGAAACGCTCGTTTTCGCAGGATGTTTCCATTTTGTGAGAATCCTTACTACGTTATGTACTAAGGCATGTTGTTGAATTAAAAAGGAGTACGTAAGCTTATGAATGCTAAGAAAAGAGCGTTGCGAAGTGCAGTGACCCAGACCGAGGCACACCCTTCGCCATTTGACACCATTGGTCTTCAATTCACAGGGCTTGCCCAATTGAAACGCGTAGTCTCCATGGAACTAACTTTTCGTCTTTTCCGGCCTTGCCTGCGGTTCGTAAGGAGATGCACCCATTGAGCATGGTCCAACCGCGTTGCAACTCAGACACCGGGCGTTGGTCTGTGATAAGAACGTGTTGGCTCTGTCTGGTCTGGCACTGGCTGGACCACTGCTGTCAGGTCCGCTGGACTACCATAGCCATTATCCGCCCGGGTTGCCAGTTCGCGCCACGCCACGCATGATGGCGCTATAATGGCGCTATTATGGCGCTATTATAGTGTCAATGGCGCCTATTATAGTGTCTATGTCTATTATAGTGTCAATTATAGTGTCTATTATAGTGACTATGGCGCTATTATAGTGTCGTGCAGCGAGAAGCCAGTATATTGTCTATACTAACCGTGCGTAGAGGCGAGGTCAACGTCTGTAACACCCTTTCAGCAGTCAGGAAATCGTATGCGAGAGTCTCGTCAGCGACACACAGTCAATATTATACCCGGACTTAGGCTCCTAGATACCTATGTATGGCCCTCCATTGCCAGGTTGGTTGCCAGCATCACAATGATCGATCTGTGTTGGTGAATACGTCCAAGGGCTGTTGAAAACCATTGCCGAAGTGTGTGTACCAACCGTCTCCTAATTTATTTTGAGTCATTTTACAGGAGTGTCTCTGTCATTCAAAGGTATTACACCAAAAGCACATGGCTAGCTAACTACTTTTGCTGGTGGGCCGTAAGTTACATTTTTCTAGGGTCTAGACAATACTATTTCTGCAGCTATAACTGAGGTTTAGATTAGATATCCAGGCATAATTGATTCGTCGATATACGGTAATGATGGCCATACCCTGTTTGTTGGTCTTCTACGCTGTTTTCCAAGATGCTGAAAATGATATATAGTACTATAGCTCAGAGTCTGTCTAACTGTTCCATATATTGGTTTTCACCCCTTACAGCCGTGTGGAAAGCACCAGACAAGTGAAACACACATAGGAATCGCACAATCCTTGTGCAGTTGCAGACAGTAGACATGCGACCGACTGTCGATGAATATCTACTGCCCCTCCCAATCGGCTGCCGACTAATATACATACTTAATCGAAAACATCAGCCATGTGCCGTGCCGCCACCACCGGTCGCCGAACCGCCGTGGGCTGCGAGTGCGCCGCCTCACCGCCGCTGTGGTTCCGCGTCCCCGGTCTGCGCCGGGCGCCACTCAGCCGGACGGGCACCGCTGCTCACACTGCAGCAGATTGTCCTGGCACTCAGAGAGCGGCGACTGCGCCCAGCCGCCGCCGTCGCCGCCTGCCAGAGAGTCGCCGACGGGCAGCTCGTCGACCACCGGCTGCGGCGTGGGCCCGGATAGCTCGTAGGTGCGCGTCTGAGCGCTCACCCGGATGGTTTTGGCCGCGGGCGGCAGCTTGGAGGGCTTGCGGTGCGCGGTGGCTGCGCACCTGCGGTTGTCCGCCTCAGGGATCAGGTACAGCCAGAAGCCGTCGGGCGCGTCGGCGCGCGAGACGGAGAGTTTGGCCGATCGGGCGAAGTGAATCCGCTGGAGGAGGTGGTCGTCGGTGAGCTGGTGCGGGTGGATGACGCACCGGCGCGCCACGGCCAGTGCGGCGCACTCGTCGCCGCCGCGGAACGTGCTCACCTCCAGGTCCACGGCTTTGGCTTCGACGTCGGCCCAGCTGAAGCGGCGGTACGACACGTCTGCCGGCGTAGACTTCATCGTGGTCACCCTCTCGCCCAGCTTGACGTTCTCCGTGGAGACGCGCCAGCGCATTGGCAGCGGCATGGTCGCGTTCGTCACGGCCATCAGCTCGAGGGAGCGCTCGTTGTGGCAGAGCAGTACCTCGAGCCACTGGTAGATGTGTCCGCCGCCCGGCTGCCAGGGCATCACCCAGTGGTGGCGGTCGTCGCGCGCAGAGATATACAGCCAGACGGGCGTCTTCAGCGAGGGCCGCTCTCCCTTGAGGCCGATCGGCGACAGCTGCACCTTCAGCACCTCGTCGACGCGCACCTCCCGCGCCGGGTCGCTCTCAAACGTTTGCGTCGTTTCGCCTTCCAGCTGAAACACGACGTTCTTGCCCATGCGGACGGCGACGCTCGCCGACGTGAGCAGCAGCACGGCCAGGATCAGTCGCATGGCGATGCTGCGCGGGTTGGCAGGTCTAACTTCACTCGGAGACTTCGGAACGTCCTGAACTCGCTGGCCGCTCCTGTGGGGTACCGGGTGACGGGACGGGACGCTGCGCTCTGTTCGTGCGGGGCGACTGCCGCCGGCGAGCCCCCGTCAGCTTATATCTGCCTGCACTGAGAGTGACGTCAGCAGCTCTGGCCGTGACAGAGAGGCCGCGCAGGGACCCAGCATCAGTCGACAGATAAGATAGTCACTGGGACCAGGGGTCACTTCAGAGACGAATTACCTATTGCAGAAGTGCATAAGGTAACCTTACTGAACTATCTTTTTATTTAACTGCCTGTTGGCGTGGGGACGTTTGCTATAAGTACCCAGCATGAAAGCGAATGACACAATACCGATCTCTTTTTACGGAGACAAGAATGAACCCTCGCCGAACCTATTGGCTTTCTACATAGGACTACTTACCTACGCGCCGGCCGAGGGGGAGGGGGTATACGACCCCTCTCGTCGTTCCGCCCCTGATGGAGCTAGAGCCTTGACGAAGAAACGAGCCTGTGCGCCGTTACAAGACACAGCGACTGCTGCCCAATTTTAAGGTTTAAGGTCAGCCGGTGACCTCTGAGGTCAGGTCAAGTGACCCAAGGCATGGATTCGGTTTTTCACAAATAACTTCGTAAAAACGGCCGCAGGGCCGTGACTTTGGCATCATCGTGTTTGCCCTGTTCAGGCGCGTTTAATGGTATGCTTTTTGTACGGGTCAGGTCAACTTAAGGTGTTGAGCTTGAGCTCGGGTCAAGGTTAGGTCAGAACTCAGAGCTCCCAGGTCACGATGTCGGTCAAAGGAGGTCCGGTTGTATATCATTCGATTCGGCAGGTCTACCTGAGTCTATTGGTGACTTTCCAGACTCGTTAGCTCAATTTGCTCGAGAGTTATTTACGAATAACTGATGATCATAATGACGTCATAAATTACGTCACGCAGGTCAACCATGCAAAAGGAAAGCATCGGACCTTGCAAGGAGTGCATGAAGTCACGATGCTGTGTACTAGAGATGGTTTGAGATCGTTCCTAGCGCCAAAATAGCAGTTTTCATTTTCCCCCATTAACTTATAATGGTGAGATGACGTGACCGGCCTGACCTCATGTGACCTTTAGGAAAAATCCGAGATATACAAGTTGTGAGACCCCTGAAGGATGAAGTATACTTTGTAGGTCCTGTAAGTTTCATCTCCTTGTGGAAGCTGCTCTGGGACTGAGGGCGCTGCGAACTTGCGACATCTGATGACCATGCATAGGTTCACTTATGGGTTATGAGTTATGACGTCATAGGTCAGTGACCTGAGCTGAAAACGAACATGGGGATATCATTCCTTTCCCCTTCTTTCGACTCTTCTGTTACGATTTCAAATTAAAGAAATTATAAATGCACCAGGCGGATGTATTTTTGGTCGTCAACGAAATCAGCAACCATGTGGGCAGGGCTCCAACTCGGCCCAGTACAAACTCGGCATGCCTAAACAAACAGAAACCTACTGTATCAAATGAGAGCCTCGTAAATAGCTCCCCAACCCACTGTAAATAAACTCCCTGAATAGGCGGGTTGCCGTATGGAAAAGTGTCCGTGCAAGCCACGCCAAATGATGTCGACAGCTCCGTAAATGTGCTCACCGCTCAGCCACTCAGACTGACACGGCTAGCATATTCACGGCGCTGTGTTATCGGTGTTTGGGTCCCAACAGCGTATGTGGAAACTAGCTAGACTGCAGACGTAGCCCCAGCTTTTAACCCTCGAATGTATATGCATCGCCGAGTGAGCCGACAGAATGTCCCTCAGACAAGACTGCCGATGTCCTCAGCAAACGCATATGACATTCGAGATCCCAACGCACCATTCGCGACAACAACCAGTGCCCGACCGTCCGTCGCCGGCGCGACCCCACCCGACCTCGCTTCACAATCACGTGGTCTGCGGCCAACCAAATCACTGCACGAGTCCGCACCGCACAGCCCCGCTACAGCGAGAGATGCTGTGCCGCAATACAGCGGTCGCGCGTCGGCCGAGGAGAAACACGAGCGGGGTGGAGCATGGGTGGAGCAGACACAAGCGGGCGAAAACACGATAACTAGTTATGTTCACTTTTGCCGACACTTTCCCACTATTCTTCCTTTATTTCTGCTATAACATAACAGCTAATTTTGGTCTGAGAAAGACCACCCGGGTCCTATATCTTCAGGGATGTGCCGTGCTCGGAACATTCCGACAGTGTGACCCAAACCAAGGGACATGGCTGTCATGCGACCCAAGGATGTCTGAATCGGATGACATCATGTTGTCGGCGGGACCGTACTCGACAATCTATCTGCCCTTCGAGACCATTCCACATCTGTTTGCTCGGGTGGCTAGTGCACCCAGCTCGGCCCCGTCGGGGAGATCCCGGACAGTACCGCGTGGCGCCGCTGGCGGGGGCGAGACAGATCACAGTCGCAGGGCCGGTCTCAGCTGGTACACGCGGTAAACAGTCGGCGGCAAATAGGGCCTTGCAGTCGGCACACTGCACCCGCAGAGACGCGTCTAATCATGAAGCAGCCTGCGACCGGCCGCATTCCAGCAGTGCAGTGGGTCAAACCAGAAGTTGCGGAGCCAGCTTCGTGGTTATCCGTTTGGTTCTAATGGTAACGATTGACCCGAGCTATTTTAAACGGTTTAAACCGCAGACGTGAGGTTCATTTATTCATGTATTCATGGATTTACTTGGAGGTCGCAGCTGCACTGGTGGATCCAAGGGGAGGGGGTATTGCACCCTCGCACTTCGCAGCACTCGAGGTCGATGAAAATTTGTCGTTTTTCTAAAATAAGTAGAAAGTGAACTACACCTACGACTTTTATCGGGGACAAAATTGCTCTAAACTTCACAGCAGTGCTGAGGAATCGAAGGCCGGGAAGTTCTTGGAATTTGATTTTTTTTTTTTGGGGGGGGGGGGGCATGCCACCACACTCACAGAGCTCCTGTCTCTATCCAGAGAGTCGAGAGAGGAGAGCTCCGATTAGTCTAATACGACTTTATTTGCAGATTAAAATGTCATTAAAGGGACCCTCCCATGCCTTCAAAAAGGTTAATGTGATCGGCATGAAAGTGATGTCGCTCGGTTCAGAAAGAGCGAAAACGAATATCTACCAAATTTCATCGAAAAATATTCACCGGTTTTCAAGATATTAGACTTTTACTCTTGTTTACTTTTTGGGATCTCCGCTGTTCCTACCGACTTTATTTGAAAGCATGCGGCAGTGCGGCACTTGTTGCGCGCAAAGCAGCACATCACCCGCACCGCGTGCTACCAAACGTTTAAGTAAAAGATTTAAAATCGTTAGACCTGCGCTGACGTCACAAATTCTAAGGGGGCATTCCAATGCATCAGCCCCTTAGAAGTCCGAAAACTGCAAGCATGGGTGAAACTTTGACATCACCATTGGGGTCCCAAACGTCCAAGGGGGCCTCCATTTAGTGGGGGCCTCCAAGCAATTAGGGGCCTCCAATTGCGGAAGCGGTAATTTACGAGCCACGCCAGGGCCTCCTCTAAGAAATTTTCATTGGGGGACCAGAGGCTCAGAAGCTAAACATGGGGTACCCCCAAATCCAGTTTTCTCATCGGATTTAGGCCACTTATTTTTCGTCACAGCTCTGATGCCATGATTTTTTTTTAATATCGATAAAGAAATGGTAGGTCACCTGACCCTACTGGTGGATCCAGGCCAGCAGGGTGACATTGTATGTAAATATCCCCCGCGGCATCCGAAATCGACGAAAATTTCTGGCTTTTTCACTTTTGACAATAAAACACAATGCCTTTATAATAGAAAAAAATTAACGGCACAGCATTGCGCAAGGAATCTAGCCGTAAGCCGACCCCAGAAAGTGTGAGGGTTAACCTTCGCCAGCACCTGGGGGGAGGGTCGCCACCCCCAAGTTAGCTTTTCTGCTCTACACTTAACATTTTTAAAGCTAGAAACCTGATTTTCTTTGTATAGCTGCTTTTCTATCTTTTCTCAGCGTCCATTGAAAATTTCAAGCTTCTGCGGCATTTGGGTTTGGAGATATGACCTTGTTCTTCAGGTCATGTCATGTCCTAAATGACGAATACCCAATATCTTGCGATGGCTATGGGCCTTGTGAGCTTTTGACACGCTGATTTCGGCTTTTTTTTGCCAGTCTTACCTCCCACCTATCATTGAACATGTTGTTCTGCGATGTACAGATGTCAGAGTCAGGGTCAAGGTCAACCTAGGTCATCTAAAATTATTGCGCTTTAGGCAAGCTGAATTTGCTTTTCGTGAAGTTTCTTTGACTGTATGTTTAGTAAAAGCTTCTCACTTCATGATCAAGTGTAATAGGGACACACAAACCGATCTGTGCACACATCAGTACATACACAGACATACACAGACATACAAACACATATCATTGACCTTGACCTAACTTGACGTGAAATGACCACAGCCAGCAAATTAGTCGGATAGTGTGACAAAGAGCTGTTCTAGCTCGCTTGGCACTAATACGGCAGCGTCATCGGTATATGATGGGTTGGCCCGCTGCTTGTGTAGGTATCTTATTCGACATCACCACAATTTTTTCTTACAAGATTTTAAGCCTTGCGGTCAAGAGCAACAGATTCTTTGGGAAGTGACGAATCCAATGATACCAATTTTACCTCATCAGGTCAGTCATTGACCTTCCAGGTCAGGTCAAACTAAAGAATGTTGCTGTTTGGGGTCACCGTTGCCCGTTGGAATATCACGTGCGCTGCTCATCATGTACCGATGACGCTGCCGTATTGTGGTGCCAAGCCAGCTAGAACCTCTTTGTCACACTATCCGACTAGGTTTTTGCTGGCTGTGGTCATTTCAGGTCAAGTTAGCTCAAGGTCAATGACATGTGTTTGTATGTCTGTGTGTGTCTGTGTGTACGAGTATACTGATGTGTGCACCGACTGTGAATGTGTCCATATTACATGAGATCATGAACTGAGAAGCTTTTGCCAAAAATACAGTCAAAGAAACTTCACGAAAGTAAATTCAGCTTGCCTAAAACGCAATATTTTTAGACGACCTAGGTTGACCTTGACCCTGACCCTGGCATCTCTACA